GGGGGTGGGGGTGAGGCGGGGAGCACAGAAGCCATTCGTCTTTTTGTCTTCCTTTGAGCTCTGTGGATTTCTGCTGGTTTAGGGTCAAAAGCATATGTTGGAGTGTAGGTTCGCCAGCACTCTTCACCCTGCTCTTTAAGCCAAGAGAAAGATCTACATACATTGCTGAGGTACCTTATAAGTGTTTCTAAGACAGCTTTGAGCAAGGGACAGAAAGCCTCAGAGAAACCATAAAACACAATCCATATGGCACTGCAGTATTGTTTCGTTGAGGGAATTCTGCCCTTAGACAAAACCACGCAGCCATGAACACACAACCACCCTGAGCCATCTAGCCAAGACCTGGATCTGCTACAGCCTGGGGGAGAAGTGGCCGAGCCAGCCTGGAAAGTGCTTCACCTCTGTGCTCCAGTGTGAATCTCAGCTGGGGAGAGTCCACAGTGGAAAACAGATCTCATTTGTAACAGCCTCACCTGAAAAGCTACACAGCAAATACTCTACAGAACAATATCAGGCCATACTACCTAAGTCGTTAGAACAAAAAGCGGTATCTAACTTTGGGCAGTAAGGACTTGAAAGACTTAGAGACAAGGAGCAGAATCAAGACTCTAAGACAGAGACTCTGCCATCTCTTATGATTATTTCCTGTGTGGCTGTGAAAGTTAACGGGATGAAGCCTTCACTATCAGCAGAGAGAAGGATCCAGCGCGAGTCTGCAAAGTAAAATAAACACACAGGCAGTTTAGGATATCTCACCTTATTCTATAAAATAAAGATAACAAATATGATTTTTTTGAGGGGAACAATATAGTAGTTGATAATATTAAATCTATCACAAGGCTTTGCAGAGAATGGGGAGATGGAAGAACTGAGTGTTACATAGGGTCTGGTTATATGGCAGGAAAGGGATGCTGATGACTTAGGCGTAGCTACGGGACATACATTTTCACTCACGCTAGGCATTTATGGCTCAGTGGTATGTATGTGAGCTTGTGTCTGCGCACATGTGTTAGGGGTTGTACCTTATCCACATGCTGTTGAGTGGTTTCTCCAGAAAATATGTGAAGTTGGAACAGCTACTCTAATGGAGCTAGACTACAATGGCCCAGATAATCCTGAATGGTTTATTCCAGCGTACCCAAGGGCCCCTAGCATAACACAGGCCTGGACCTTCTCTGGTTCTTTCAAGTCTACTGTGTATTACCCTTTGACCCTGTAATTTCACTTCTGAAAGTCTATACTTTCCAAAAACAACATATAACATGCAGAGAGGGTTTCATTATTGTTATTTATAATTGTGGAAAACGGGAACCCACCCGAATGCTAAAGAAAATGTGGCAAAGTAAAATAGGTTCTACCTCAGAACAGAACATCAACTCCGCCAGGAATAATGACAATTATGAAGCCGTATCATTAATGAGTGTGTTAAAATAGAAAAATGCCGGTTACGATGTCAAGGGGGAAAAAATGAAACCCAATTTTACGTTCAGTGCAGTGGCTACTGTGGCAAGACAGAGCAAGAAAAGCACCATCTGATGGAACGTGGCTTGACAGCCCCTTGCCGTCTAGGAGTGTCCTTCGTGTCCATGTTTGCTGCGCATTAAAACAATTTCTTTAAGAAATATTGTGCAATGCTGCTGTGATCTTTATGTTTCAGTATAACAGGTATACATAAGGTTTTTATGTCATTTCTGTGTAGTGGTTACATGTGGCTTTGCAACTCTTTTCTAGTTTTTCATGTGAATTTAGGTTTCCCAGCGAGGCTGTAAGTACCTTAAGGGCAGAACACATATTTTCCATGTGTTTGGTGTCTATTACAGGTGTATAACATACTTGGGTATACAGTAGGCAGTTAATAACACTTTTAGCTATCTGGTGAATTGCTGACTGGTTGGCCCATGTCGTTTTCATTACCAGTGAAAGTTACAAAATAGATGGTGGAGGGAGGAGGTGTTGGATAGCATTAATTTCTGAATGTTACCTACCATGCAGCATTTCAATAAGACAGAGGCCAAAGGTCTGCTGAACTGTATCGAGCCTTAGTTTGCCATTGCAGAGAAGCACGTCTCTTTTCTCAACAACAGAACCTACAAAATAAGGTTTCTTCGAACATAAAAGACAAAAGTTGTTAAACCAATGCAGAAGCAATGGAGTTAACCTTTCTTAATATAAATTGTAAAGTTTTTTTATTAGTAAGTTATGTGTCTAACTTGTTAAAGTTGTCATTGCTTATTTTCTGACTGCTGAGAAACACAGAGATGTTAAATGTTTATAAACGTGTTTTATATTAGCTTTGGTACGTGATATAACTAAGATTTTTAATACGGTTATGAAATTAATTTGAAAAAAATTTTAATCAGTGATTTAACTAATTTTTAGCTGGCCTGTGATTTAAATGATTTTGGGGAGAATTGGGGAAATCTGAATAAGGACTAGGTGTTAGATGATATTAAATAATTATTGTTAATGTTATCACATGTGATAATGGTAGTAAATACTAAAATACCTCGACCATTATTTAAATAGTAATTCACATATTATTGATTATCTATTTTAATACCAACTTTCTGCAAATATCTTTTAAGAAGAAGATCTGTTAAGTCTGTAGTAATCAAATTAGTGTGGTATTAAAGTTTTAGGTAAAGAGATTAGCATTATAGTAGTTATGGTATGGAGAATCCAGAATTAGATTCCAGTATAGATAAGTTTATATACGATAAATGTGGTAGATCAAGTTAGGTGAGATAAAGGTATATTTTTAATAATGTTGCTAGTGCAAGTGGTTATCTAATTCTCAGAAAGCAGAAGTGGCCTATACACAAAAATTTAAATATTAAAAATGTAAGTGTAAAAACCCAAACAATAAAATGTAAGAAAATATATACTATTACATGCATATTAATTTCTACACTATACAAAAATCTCTTGTAAACTGATAACCCAATAGGAAAAAAATAAGCAACAGGCAATTCATTCATTGGCCCCCAAACATGAAGACATATGCACTCATATTCACTGACAGTAAAGGAAAAAAAATTAATAAAAATGAAATACCACTTCACATCAGATTCATGAGGATGTGAGGAAAAGGACAACCTCATAGGTTGCTGGTGAGCATGTGATGATACGCTGTTAAGTAAAAATCTTTGAAAGGCAATCTGGCTACTCTAGTAAAAGTAGAAACATATATTCACATTGCACTTCCATTCTGGGAACAAATCCAACAGAAACAAAAGTATATATACAAGTGGATATATACAGAATACTACTGCAGCACTATGTGGAGTGGCTAAGAACTGAAAACAAAGTGAATGGCCACCAATAAGGAAACGTCTGAATAAAC